ATTTATGTAGCGTTGGAGGCCGCAGGAATTGAGGCTTTTAGAATTACTATGGCGAGGTATCAACATTTGCGTCGCTGGCACTGCAATTCCTGTCACTAGCGCTGCCATTGTTGTTCGTAGACCTACTATTGACCCGAAAGCGATTCTGCGATGAGATAACAGTCAACAGGATCGCGCAGCTAGGCTGAGCGTTTAGCCTTGGGGTCTTCGCGTTTAAGCGTACAGCCTCCGGGGGTACGTTTCTGATTTACGGCTCATGGGATGGTCATCCCTATACACCCTAAACCCCTTCAAACCACATGTCATAAACCCCAAAAGCCTTGCGAGGCCCATGATGAGCGCCATAAGCCCCATAAGCCCTAGCAGCCATGAACTTATAAGGCAATCCAGTCCTGCTCAAATGTCTCAATCTCAGAGGCGATAGACGCAGCCTAACCGGGCTTTGGGCTCAGTGCTTGCGGGCTGAAATTTGACTTAGAGTAGGGGTTAGGGTATAGGGTTCAGGGTCATAGGCGGTATAGTGCGGTATCGGGCATAGCGTATAGGGTTCAGGGAGTGCTGGGGTTCAGGCTTTCTGGTTCATGGGTGTTTTACATCCAAGTTATGACTAGCGCAGCTGTCGATTCCCCTGTCGGTTTCTGCAGCTCCAACACCGTCGACTGGCGGCTTCAGCCTACGGGCCCTTCCAGCAAGAAGAGCTCACCCCTAAATCCTAACCTCAACCCCACACTGCAGCTGATCCTTGGCCCCCAAATTCCCTATGAACAGACCGTTCTGCGCCCATGAAGCTTCACCCCGAAACCCTGACCAGACCCAGTAGTTCCTCTAAAGTCAAAGCACGAAGACCTACAAAACTGAACCCCAGACTCTTAACCCTACAAAAGAAACCCTAAATCGCCTTAGCCCTAAACTTTAAACACCAGAAACTGCAAACCGAACGAAGCCTCTAACAGCTTTCAACACCCGTCTCCTATTAGGCATCTTGTTCAGCTCATCCCAAACATGCCAAACGCAAACCCCTGAAGTCCCAAAGCTACTAACCGCTTATGAACACAAGCAGTTTAACATATATGTCAGCCAGCATACATCTACTTACATATGTATATATATATATACACACTATACGTATATGTCTATCTATCTACCTATCTATATATATATATATGTATAGAGGAAGAGAGAGAGAGAGAGAGA